ACCTGACAGGAAGCCAGAGATCAGCGGCTTCGCAGAATGTGTGAGCGGAAACCTTCAGGAAAGATCCTAGTCCCACAGTCGGTGCATGATGACTACGTTGCTGGTGGAGACCGCCGAAACGCTTTGATGGCCACGTTTGCGCAGTGCGGATTCAAGCGGGACCGCTTCTAAAATTGTCCAAATATACATCCAATAAAAGAACCCTCACTCAAAAAAAGCTTCATGAATCCTAAGCAAAGCTAGCAGTTTACCCCTTCCAGTTGCCCATTCCTGAAAAGTTCCAATCATTGGCTACACAGCTCCTCACCCTGTTGAGCTCCCAACAGCGGATCTTGTGTTCTGGTAGTTTCGATGAGCATCATTCTGCATGGGGGTAGTTCCTCTTGCTGGCTTTCGTAACGTGTTGCTGAAATCGAACTTCGATCTACATACTGTCCTATAGAGATGGATACCTTCAGTGATTTGGGCTCTTCACTCTTCACGGAAAGGTGGTTGTATCATTGAGATCCATGTCAACAGTACATAAGATTAAGTTGTAAAAAGACTTGCCTTTGCAAGTTGCATGCTGCAGGACGCTTTCCTTGGAACCATCACCAAGTCCCGGGAGGTTTCGAATGCCAACACATCTCGTAAGAAGCGAGGGTGGCACACCGCGGAGACTATGAAAACAAAGTTGGGATGGAGCAAGATGGGGCCTTAGTAAACCTGCGCAATTGTTCCTTCATGTTTTCCTTCCCAACCTTTTTAGATCATATATAATCGTAGTCAGAACCCAAGAACCTAAGGAGCTATATTGCTGGGGTCATCAAGTTCTGCGAGCGACCCGAGAACAAGCACCTGCGGAAGCCACTCGTATGCAGACAAGCTTCCTCCTGTGCGTGCACTCAACCCATGACTCGATGAGCCAGGTGAAGTTTATATAGCTGAGGCTGCGTGTAACCTAAGGAAAGACAAGTATAATCCCAAGATCAAGAAGTTTTACGTTGACATCGAAGAAGAAGATGAGAATTTGGAGAAGGAGGAGGAGAAAGAGCGGGAGGAGAATGTTGGTGAGGCAGGGCTCCATCAGCACATGTGTGCATCTCTTCAGATCTAGAAAGGGCATGCGATGCGTGTTTTACGATTACTTGCCTGCGCTGCAGTCTTCACCTATCATACCTCCCATGCATGCAAGACTTGAATTGCTGCGTGCTACCCAGGCTTTGGCAACACATAATGCATTCCGGTGCCACATATGTAGACATTCATCCTGCAGATCTGCTGCGCCAGGCCAAGGGCGAGCTCACCTTCAGGCGTTTGGGCACCGACAACAGTCGCTTGGACATGATGCCGACTATCCCGGACACTAGTGATGAGGAGGAGGAGCAGGGAAAGGACTCCGGCAAGGCTAAAGCCCAGAACCTGTCTACCTCTCAGCAGGACCTCGAGCTGCTTCTAGATTCTAGCTAGCTGCCTAGAGGGACGTATTGTCAGGGTATGCGTGAAAGCAGGGGTGGGGATCTAGGCCAGGCCAGGTGAAGCGGATCAAGTTACTTATCGGATTTTGGCAGGAGCTTGTGAAGTTTGCCAAGTTTGGCGATTCCTTGCTGACACGATCAGCAAAGCTGCAAGACTTGATGGCAGATCTTGAAAGCGAGCTGATGGACAAAGAGGTGTCTGCTGAAACGGCTGCCAGGGCCAAGAAGTCCATCCCCTACTGATGCTCTTGCGCTGTATATACATTTAGAATCGAAAACGAGCAACTTCACACCTTGAAAGCTGCGTAGTTCCTTGCGTGACCCTGTAACTTCATGCATGTCTTTAAAGCAATTGCTGAGGTCTGTGAAGCTGTTGGACAGCGCGGTCTCCATTCTCGAGAATGAGTATGAACAGGTTCAGCAAGTGAAGGCTGATGCATGCAACCTCGAGAATGATCAGATTCCGGATGCCGAGAAGAAGACGCTGCTTGCCTATTCGAAGTTAAGACTCTTAATTTAAACTCCACGCAGATCAAAGCAGTGTGACGATTCAATTGTATATGCGCATGCTTGAGTGAAGCCCTTAAATGGTTGAGCCCAGCCAGCCTTCAGCCCGATATTGTACATGTACTGCAGCATCATTGCACCTGAGCTGCCAGGTTGCTTGAGAAGCTGCGGGTGCAATTGAGGAAGACCCGTGTTGCGCAGGAATCTTACAAACCGATTGTGTGTGGAACATCTTGTGGTACATTGAAGTCTTGCCTGGGGAGGCTTGTAATGTATGACGTAGATCGAATGTTAATTTATAGACACGTACTACAGAGGTAAGCGAGTGATCAGCCACGAGAATGGAACCATGTATACAACATCAACTTCCTGCGAGTCACCGCATCAGTAGTTGTTTCCGCGCATGCCCCGCGCACAACTTTTCCTCAGTTGCTCCCCCGGCCCAGGTGCGCCAAAGTTACCACTTCTGAAAGCACTGCAAAGCCTCTTAGCTGCGCTTCTTAGCAGCTGCGGGAGCTTGAGTTCTAAAATCGGCTTCTAGACAATTTCAGGAAGGCTAGGGTAGGTGGTGGCGGCTTTGCATGTGTGTAGACATATTACGATCGAATTCCCATACAAGAACAACTATACTTACGGTTAACACACACCCCTCTTCAGTAGAACTGTCGACCTTCATTTTTGCAGACCCCTGCGCTAATCTACATTACATATTTTCTTCCTTGCAATTTTGCTCTAACAACTCGAACCCAGGACGTGCCTGAGGAATATCCAGAAGAACGGGAATGAGAAGTGATCCTATGTGCTCTTGTCAGCTAGCGAGTGCGCATGTGCTAGGATCGAAGCATGCCTTCGCTTGCAGCTGCTTGTGTTCTTGCGAGTCTTGATGGACTGCATCGGGTAGTTATTATGGGGCCCTGTTCTGATTCGCCGGGCTACATGACCACGGTTTGCAATTTTTGATCGCGAAGCCTATAGCTATTATCAGACTACCAATTATAAGAACCCAATATTCGCTGGCCCACAAGATCTTCTATTCTTCCATTACAAACGTGGTTGTTCGCTCGATGCTGCGGACAGGGAAAAACGTGCAAAGCATGTGCCTGGACATGTCTTCAGGTTGGCTCCTTGTGCGGGGTGATTTCAAAGCTTGCAGCATCGACTGCCGGAACCCAAAATGAGAGCTATATACACCTGCAACCCGTTGAAAACTTGAACGTGTAACTGTGATCCATACCCGTCCCCCAACCGGAATTCTTACGAGGTGCTAGCTAACTTGATAAGCAAGCGACTTGGGCAACTTTTTCAATCTTTAGCTAGCCTTTAAAATTTCCATTGGCCAGGTGACCGCACGCCTGGCAAGCTGCTCACCGAGCTTGCCCTCAATGTTTCGAGAGGAGCAGCAGCCTCAAACAGGGGAAGGCATTTAGCAAGGTGTCTGCGAACTATTGGTAAGGTACATTAAGTCAGTAATACGATTACAGTCTGGGGCAGGATCCTAGAACACCATCTCGATCTGGATACTTGGGCATTCTAGAAAAGTTCCAGCTTTCAAAGAATTTCACCGGATGGGATGCACAAAGGGCTTACATCAGCTGTGTATATATATATGGAGTCAATGGAATTGGTTCCTTAAAGAGGGTTAGTGAGCCAGGGGATTATATGCAAGAGTATACTAGGGAATATATATATATGTAAGCTCGGGGGATACTAGGAACTATATATATATATATATGTATACCAACTTTTCAGCACAGCTCATAAAGAATGATTGAACTGCCGAACATGTTTTTGGTGGCTTCAGTTGGCTGTTCATGGGCTCGGTGGAAGCAGCTACAATTTCTTTTCTGCACCCTCGAAACTGCCGTCATGTGGAAAGATAAAGTGCTACAGTGTTGTACTTTCTTCTAGTGTCATATTAAGGATCCCACAAAGTGATTGCCTCCGGCCAGGCCCAACTAGGTGGACCCCATGGATTACAGTATGCAAGACCGTTTCTGAAGTCTCCATAGTTAATTGCCTCAAAGTCAAGCTAACGTTGCGCTTGCATAATTGTTTCCTTAGGTTTACTTTGTGTTTCTATCTGTATCAATCTAGCTAGCTGCCATGGAAGACCTGCGCGAGCTCTTGACCTACACATGCCCTTTTACTGGAGCACCCCGATGCGCTTTGCCCACGACTGCAGACAAGGAACAACCTCACGAAGCAAAAAGGCAGAGGCGCCCAACCCGCAATTGAAAACCCCCCAAATTGGTACCTATATATAGATCCCTGTACAGGCCAAATTTTTAATAAACTACATAGGATCGAGGTCTTAATTGTGAAGTACTTCACACGGATCCCAACAATCTCCAAGTATTGTTTCTCGAAAGAGCATGGCTGAGTCCGTTCTTTGTAGAGGTATGTGAAATTTAAGCTAAGATTCTTCGGGTTTTACGCAAGCCCCATGCATGCACGCAGGCTTCAACCTGCAGAGCAGACAAATTCTGAGAATGTTTCGATGCGCCCTGGACCTATTGTGAATCTGGGAGATAAGGGTGCTCTACATGCTCAATTTTCCCTAGCCCTGGAGAAGCCAAGAAAACTGGCGCCTCCCATATATCGCCCATTGCAGCAGCATTGTGCAGCAGCACCTTTGTTGAAATGGAAGGGCTTATTTCCTTTCTGGGTTTTCTAGAAATTAATGATTTACGTTTCTTACGTTCAGGTAGCCTGGGGTTGCAGGGACTTCTTGTGATCATAGTTTTGGTGGTGTTCTGCAATTGGGGCACTAGCTAGCCTGGTGTATAATTCTTGGCTCACCTTGGCTTGTTAAGTTTCCCCCAGGGCGAACATCAAGGCGCCATCTTACCCAGGAGTGCATGAAATCATGTTGCCAGTAGAAACTATGTATAGTTGGCATCAGGGTTGCCTCATAATCTTGACGCATAATTACACACCTATTTGGAGGAATCCAAACATCAACCGGCGTTCCTTGATGACACCCAGGACCCCGAAAAGCTCCTGGATGTGTCCCTCAACTTTGAGCATACAACCTCTATGTGGTCTGAGCTACGAGAATTTTCCTTGGTTTACAGAGGACTCGTTTCTGACCGCAGTAATCCTACATGTGGTCGGATACTGGCACATGCAAGAACCCAGGTGTCAGCATTTAGGGAGAGGATTGGGCTGCAACTCTGCGTTTTTAAAATCGGAGTTACCGCAAACCCTCCTTTCCGTTTTGTGGATTATGTTTCGAAGGGTTTTACTGAGATGTGGGTTGTTTTTGCTGGCTCAGACCTGGGGATGGTTCACATGTTAGAAGCAGCTTTAATTCTGGAATTCGGCCCAGCAACTGGGTGTCAGAATGCCCTTGGCACTGGGGGAGAGGGGGCCCTGAACAAAAAGATATCGGACGGTCCTCCTTTTTTTGTTTATGTTACCGGCGGTCGAGCAGATCAACCCCGGAGAGTCGGCTAGTCCAAACTAATTTTGCAAAGTTTCGGATGGTGCCTGCATGCACGCGTGTGGCTGACTTTGCCATTCGCATCATCCAGTTAGAATCATAATTGGCTTGCTTGCCGGTCGACGCGACAGTGATGGAGAGCACAAAAGTCCATAGCAGATCCTAGCAACAATCATATCTAGTTCTACTTGTGCACATGTGCGACCAAAATCATGCCCATCGATCTGCCTGTTGCAGTACGTGCCCATTCAGATCTGCGTAGCATGCGCACAACAGTGTTTCGCACAATTTCCCATATAAGTGCATTACATCCCTGCTTGTGCGCTGTGCCCAGGTCCCATGCGCCCACGCCGTATCCATCGCGAAGGCGGCAGTTGATGAAGATTTGACTGCGGCCGACCCTATGTTGATACGACTCGCCAATGTGTCTACTTCGGACGCAGAATCAGGCGCCCATGCAGTGTTTCGAGAAGCATGGCTGACTGCACCTGTGCCGATCAGTACTGCTAACTTGGCTGAGGACCCAGCTGTGAGGAAGTGGCCATATGTGAAATTTTCGGATTGGATGCGCCTCTTGATAGATACAGGACGCTTGCCCCGCCAGCTCTGTGGTGTGAGAACAGTTGCAGAGATGCGTCAACGACTTCGAGTTTTCTGGTTTCGCTTCCAGGCCTTGCACCCCACCCACGAGGTGTTCGTCAGGGCCATGCATGGACAAATTGATCTTAGCAGGGCAGTCCCAGTGTGGAGCCACACAGATGAAGGCCGTACTCAAAAAAAGCTGGCTTTGTTGGTGTTGTCGGTGCACGGCTGCCTTGGTCGGGGCACGAAGCAGTACTTGGATGACATTCAAAGGGACCCGGACAAAAGGGATGGCATGGGTCTCAACTTTATTGGACCGTCCTGGGGAACGCAGTTCTTGTTTTCTGTGATGATGCGGGGGGTATGGCAAAAGTATCCCCAAGCTTTGGACAAGCTCGTGGAACTGTTTGCAGATGATCTGAGCAGATGCGCGCTTGAGGGCGTGGCTAGCACCCGCAATCCGAATGAAATCTTCTTTGCGGTACAACTTGGAACCAAGGGCGACCTCCCGGCGTTGATCAAACTGGGTGGTTTCAAGCGTACATACAACAGGGTCCCAAAAACGGCCCGCTCGAACACACTTTGCCGCGGGATTTGTCATTGGTGCGACGCAGGCAGGGAGGGTGACTTTCCTGTCTTCTTCGAAGATCTTTCCAGTGAACCTGGCTGGCTCGGTACTGCCTTCATCAACCCTCCATGGGACACGGAGCCTACAATGCTGAGGGGCCAGCTTCTTGAACCTGGGAAGCCAAGTTTCTTCTTTAGACTCGATCTTTGGCATTGTTTTCATTGCGGGGTTGCCCGCGTGTGGTTGGCGTCTGCATTCATCGTGCTGTGCAATCTGGGTGTGATTGTTGGTGGATCGGTTGACGCGCGGTTTCGGAGCCTCACTGAGAGCTACAGGGAGTTTTGCGCTCGCCATCGGTTTGCCATGCATATTCAAGAGTTCACCCGCGACAACCTCGGCTTTGATTCTGAGGCCTCTTGGCCGGTGGGGAAATGGAATAAAGGCGCAGCTTCAACCCACATGATGCTATTTCTGGAAAACTTCATGGAAGACCGCGTTGTGGGTCGCACTGATGATGTATTGCTGCTTGCAATCGTATCTTGTCGCTGCTGTGTGCAAGAATGTTTCATGGTTCACGTCTGTTAAGTTTGATGTTGTTTGATGAGAGGGCTCCTTTTTATGATAAATTGATTAAGCTTATAAACTTGAAATCGTTTCGTGTTCTTTCGCTTTCTTCAGCCAAGGCAAGGGGCACCAAAGCTATGAACCTTTTCCTGAAGCAGCTGTACCGCGAGGGATTCTGGATCAGGCGTGAGCAAGGCATCACGCTTTCAAACTTGCACTTACTGTTCTTGAAGTGTTACCAATTTGCCGTGTCGGAGTGTTTGAATCGAGGCATGAATCGTTTCACCCTAGTGCCAAAAATCCATATGATGCATCACTGCGCAATCCGTATGAAGCTTGAATGCGCAACAGCGCAATACTGTAGCAACCCCCTGTCCGAGAGTGTACAGATCCAAGAGGACTTCATAGGAAGACCGAGCAGACTATCCCGGAGAGTAGGCATCCGACTAGTTCACTTGCGCGTCCTACAGAGGTCGCTGATTGCTCATCAATTTGCTCTTAAGAGCTCAGATCTAGATGACAGATTTTGACGGGGCTTTGTGAGGCCTGCAACCAGGGAAGTAGGGAACATTTTAGATACCTATAGAGACCCAGAAAGCCTTCATGTTCCCAGTATGGGCCTGGTATAGGTACTCACAATCTATGCGTAAATGATCGTGTATATCAACTCCTATGAATCCTCAAGCTGAAGGTTTTTCTTGGTCTCTTCAAGGAAGCTTCCCTTTTAGTCCCCAAATAACAATTTCATAGCCCTTGAGATCTAGAAGCCTCGCCAAGCCCAGCTACCGCAGCCAGAGCACAGCATGTCTCGGACCAGGGAAAAGGTCGATGTCGGCTCCGCAGGCCATTCCAGGGAGGGTTGATTTCTTTACTTGTAGGTGGGTATCTTAACTTACTAGGTTACTTAGGGGTTATGTTAGCTTAAGCCTGGGTCATGGTGACCTGTGACCATTGGGGTGCTAGCTGTCTTTCTCGAAGGTTTTGTGGGCTATCTACAGTAACCCCGTCAAATCAATATAGGGAAAGGGTAGTAATGAAGATTCTTATCATGAGCCAGGCAATAGGTTCACTGCAACATGTTCAAGCTTGCTCCCAATGCGTGGTCCTTCCGAAACCCTGTAAAATGTGCATTTCCGAAAGACCTAGTTTTTTCCAAAAGGTCCATAAATTTAATAAAGGGCCTTAAATCCTATTACTTTATTGCACGTCCCTAAAACGGAAAGCCTTCCAGGGCTAAGGTATAGCATATACTTAAACCCTACACCCTAAACCCGAATTAAGGCCCAAAGGAGTTCCCATATATTTACTGTAGGGCCGAAGCAGATACTCTGAAGCAGCATGCGCCCTTTGGAATCCTATTCGTCTTTTAACTGCCTAATTTTAGAAACAGGTTCAACCTTGACCCCGAACCCAAAGGGTCCACATAGCTATATATACTGCATATACTTGGGCCCTTAACTTACTGGGGGGCTAGTAGGGAACAAGGGATTATGTTATATAGGGAATATAAATATAGGGATTATATTCCCCTATTCATTGCTACCCTTCAGTAAGTTAAGGTACCTGAATGGAAAGACTTTGAAGCGCAAAGCATCTACCAAATACGTACATGCGCCCTCAGGGGGACTCAAGGGCTTAGGGTTTCGGGTTTAGGCTTGACTTGATCTTTGACCCAGAACTGGTCCTGGCCTCCAGCAGGTCCACGATTTCCTGGAGGGCTTGGTCTCTGAACTAGGCTGGGTGGTGGTTCGAAGATTTCTTAAGAAAAAAAGGGTCCCGAAGACACTTCAAGGACCTGTAGTGATTATGAGTTCTGTGTCAAGGATCATGTAACCCTAAGGGTCCAAGTACCTCATAATCATATACTTACCCAAAACCTATACCAAAACTACTATTACCCAAATCCCAAGTACCTAATTATTGGGTACTTAGACCCTTAAACCCTATATATCCCTATATACCCCTATGTATCCCCTTTACGTAAAGGGACCTAATTATTGGGTACATGGACCCTCTGCGTAAGGGCCATCTAGAGAAACTTGTATGCGCAATTCGTCAACTTTGTCTTCGGTCAGTTCGAAGCTGGGAGGAGGTGTGGCAAGGCTATGAGCGGTTACTCCTCTTGGTACAATATTGGGCTTATATAGGGATAATGGAAAAGAAAATGGAAACTTCTATTTAAGGTTTAAGGTTTAGGGGCTTCTACATTCTGTAATTACCAGCGAACTGTGCCCGCCCCGAACTTAAACAACTCCTCCCTAAAGGTTCATGTGGGCATGCAACATGGTAGATGCTTAGGACCCAACGTTCTTCCCATTTAGGTACGTTGAGGCCCAGGTACCTACCATATGTGCTACAGTCTAAACTCCTTATATCCCCCTTAATATGCTCTATAGGAATCCCTTATAGAATCCCCTATATAGCCCCTTTTAAGGAGTTTAGACTATAGTACATTTAGGTACCCTACTGCCCAGATCTCTACCATATAGGTATGTGCACTTTTGGGCCTCCTATCTCGCACGCACCGAGCTCGAGCTCCATAATGTAGGAAGGCTGCAGCCCTAAACCCTAAACCCTGAACCCTAAACCCTGAAACCTGAACCCTGAACTAGCCCCAATCCTTTAAGCAACTGACTGCGGTTGCGGACTGATTGGTGCCCAGGCCTTGGAGTATGACTCATACTTTTACATACATTATCTTGGAGGGTGAAGGAGAAACATATTGGCGTTTTTAAGGTACGTGCGGTAATTTCCCTAAATAGGGAACCGCAGTATAAACCCCAAAATACTATAGGCCTTATTATGGGGACCCCCAAAAGGGTACCCATGATTTTGGGAAACACCCATGTATGTCTGGAACGTCCACTTGACCTCGATGTGTTTTCAACATGTCGCAGCCCTAAGGTGCCCCGAAAGATGCGCGTTGCAAAGGCCTGTGCAGATGCAACGACGGTGCCTTATTAAAGGGCTTACCTGGGGTAACCTATATACCTGGAAAGCAGGGTTTGGCAACTTATAATGTGCCTCTTTTTGAGGGGCCAAGGTTACTCTACTGTAGACCCCTTATTCATAAACCCCTCCCCAAACTGAGATTAGAATAATTAGGGATCCTAACATTAAGGCCCTTAAAAGGACGGGGTTTATTAATCAGTTTGCGGGTTTACCCTAAACCCTAAACCCTAAACCCGTTTATTCTGTTTCGGGCGGACCTGCCGGCGTTGCCGCTGCTCTTCCGGAGGCTTGCGAGTCTGGGAGCATTGCTCCACCTGCGGAAAATCCCAGAGTGACCATGTACCCAATAATTAGGTCCCTTTAAAGGGGATATATAGGGGTATATATAGGGATATATAGGGATATATAGGGATATATAGGGTTTAAGGGTCTAACTACCCAATGATTAGGTACTTGGGTTTTGGGTCATAGGAATTATGGTACAGGTGTTGGGTAAATATGTGATTATTAAGTACTCGGACCCTTAGGGAATAGCAAGTGATCCATGAAGTGCCTGGGTTCTGCGGAGCCCACCTTTTGAAGTTTACAACCCTAAACCCTAAACCCTAAACCCTAAACTAAGCTGGCGAGTTTCTCAAGTTCAGGTGGAAGAGATGTTGCCAAACACGCTTAGTCCAAACGACCGAGCCACCGGACATGAATCCCTAAGGGGGTGTAGGGTTTAGGGTTTAGTCCAAGTATCCAACAATCTAATATTACGAACACTTGGGCTTTAACTAAGCACTAGTACCTGCACTATGGGGTGTATATGCCCAAGGAACCCCATGTTCACTCATTAATAGTTATACTCTACATAATTCTAGGATCCCTATGAGCCCTAAAACCTAAAATGATTTAGGGTATGTCCCTGAGTTGAGGGATATGGGACTTCCTTGGCGTTTGTTTGTGATTTGGGCCCTCAACCCTGAACCTGTGTAAGTGAAGTGTACGAGCGAAGCAAGGTCTATTTTGGTGTCTTCAGAGTGAAATTTCAACCTATGCCACACCTGCGCGGTTTAGGGTTTAGCGATTCATAAGGAATGGAGGAAGAGATCCCGGCCCCTAGGCAAGCTCCAACAAGGTACTAGTCCCAATGTTCTTGTCCTTTCCCTAAACGCTCAAGCATATAGCAGCTTCCATCTTCTATTCCATTCCCTCAACCCTAAACCCCTAAACCCTAAACCCTGAACCCTAAATCCCCAAACCCCTAAACCCTAAACCCTAAACCCTTTACTCACCATCCAACACCACGGCTAGCTCATAGATGCTTAACCTTCCAGCCACAAGGAATAAACACCTACACCCAACCAGTGCCCTTAAAGAGGGGTTAAATGGTCCCTAGAAGGTTTAGTGTATCTCTCCTATGAGTTCAAAGGTCCTTACTATAGTCTCCTTAGACCTATAATAAAAACTGATATTGGTGATATTTCCTTAGGGTTATACTACAAGAAAGATTTTTAAAAAACAATTATTCCTAAGGACAGTACAGCCTAAACGTGAAATCTCGCCTATGACAGGAGGTGGAGGTCTTGTCAGTCGTGTTGGAATTGAAGGAAACAAGTTGGGCTCTCGCAAGGCATGTCACAACAATATCCCTACTTAGATCCTAGTGTAATTTTCACTAAAGGGATATTGCACTTTCCGGGAGATTGCAGTAGCCATTCCGAAGCATGACCTGAAACAATCAGAATAGAATCACTACTTTAAACAAATCTTATTCCCAAAGCGGCCAATAAGGAACACCTAAACGCTACAGTCTTAGGACATAAAGTTCCCATGCATCTTTCCGTGTAGACCTAAACCCTAAACCCTAAATTGCCTTCAGGTGACCTTTAGATCAACCCATTCTTCAATCCCAAGCTGCGAAGCTACCATCTAAGTCCTGTGAAGCTCCTACCTAGGGTTAGGGGTTTAGGGGTTTAGGGTTTATAGACCCTCCAACTACCCTCTGTATTCTTCTAGATACCCGATACTGGGCACCCTGTAGGGCCTGTTGAAGGGCACTTGTATGGTCTCGGCAGTTGGCTACA